TTTCGATACGAGCACGGGGTGTTTCATTTGTCTTTGGAGAAATATACATTCCAAAGCTTTATGATCTGTTTCTAATTGGAATTTTCTACCATAAAAGTACATATGAAAATGCTCGCAACCAAAAAGAATGGCCAAAGCCTCCTTTTCAATATGACCATACTTGATTTGGGTTCTGGTTAGGGATCGGCTTCCAAACGCTAAAAAACGGTAATTTGTGCCTGATTGCTGCTGTAGAAGTATAGTGCCATTTGCGCAAGGCACAGTATAAACAACATAAAGTAGGGCCACTTCTTTGAAATTTTTCGTGCCACGTATATTTTATTACGCATATGATTACCATATTGGCAGCCGGTAAATTGCATTGTGTGGCCAATAGGACTGACGATATGGCAAACGGCAGTCAGAAAACTAATTAAATATACATCACCCAGTTGCACAGCGAAATGGCCCCACTATATATTCCTATACTCTGCCCAAGGAGAGGCATCAACAATAAGTCTTGCTGGATTACGTAGGTCGTAGTGAGCTAATGTTGGTGCACTGCTGATTGCTGGAATGTATCGTGAACAGTAATTGTAAAGCCTAGAAAAGAACGAACTTCGGAACATTTTTTTAGGATGCGGTGCTTTGTATATTGGTTCAGTCTTATTCTGATCGGGTCGACTTCCTTTGCCAGAGACAAAATGACCAAGAACATTTATTTCAGGCTCTGCAAAAGTACCTTTTGAAAATTTCAGAGTCAACCCATTAGACTGTAAGGTTCTAAGCAGCTTTCCAAGAAGTGAGTGAGCATATCTTTCGACCAAAGCCATATGTTGTCAGAATTATTTTTGTAGTTAGGAACATCTCTTATATTCTCATGAATCTTTTCATGGAAATATTCCCAAGAAGGTCAAGCAACCATGAAAAGTCGTGTAAATAGGGGGGACTGTCTTCAGGTGTTGTAAATGCAGTAATGAATGGTGACTCTGGTGCTGAAGAAAGTTGCAGGTATTCTTGTGCTAGATCTAACTCGGTAAAATGGAAGCACCTTGTATCTTCTGTAGAATTGAATTTACCGTTGGAATTTAAATTCTTCTTCGTTTTAAGGCACTGTTTGCTTTTCTCATATCTACAACAAGGCGAACATCTTTGCATTTCTTCGCGATAACGGTTAAAGATGACAGCCATGGAATAGCTCCTTTAACCTTTTCTCCTCGCTTCCGCATCTCTTCTAGCTTTTATTAACAATTAATTTAATACTGTGAGGTATACAACATGCTGGTTGTGCAACAGAAGTAATATTATGATTCACTTTAAACTTTACTTCGTAATGGGAGTACTTTGATTTTAGAGAATGTAACTGTAGAGAATGTGACTGTAGAATTGACTTTTTGCAACTGTTTGAAGACATCATTATTTATTACATTGACAGACGAACCTGAACAAATGATGAACAAAAGTGCAACTTGTTTAACTTGAATTGTGACATTCGGTTGTCTGTGGGAACTTGTCGAGGTATAAATAAATGCATCGTCAGATTCTTCAGAAGATGAAGCTATCGCAATGTCTAATTTTCAAACTTCTCTTTGCTTTACCACGATTTCACTGGGTTTTCTTTCCCTTGTTTCAAACAATATTTAGCAAAATGACCAATTTTCCCTCAGTAGTGACATGATTTTCCATACGCAGAACACTTTGTTTTCCCCCCTTCGTGTGTAAATTTTCCTGCACAATTAATGCACTTCTTAGATAATGATGGATTTTGATTTTCTAAACCTTTATATTGTGTTCTAGTTCAACCTCTAGTGTTTGAATACCATCGTGGATGTTGTTTGTGTACGGTATGTATGTATGATTTGACTATGTTAAATATTTATGAATGCCTACGATTTTCTTTGATTCAATGCCTGTTTTCTCCAGTGTGTGTACATATGTAAAAAGCTTTCTGAGTGTCATAGTTTCTCGTAATGCTTCTCTTCGTAGTGTGTCATGCGAGTCTGTTGTTTTGTGTATAATTTGCGTCTTGATTTCGCGATCTTCATTGCTAAATTTGCATGATGCTGCTTTTTCCTTTAACCGACGATAGATTTCGTTGATGGGTTCTCCTCATTCTTGCTTCATTTTGCGAAACTCGAAAATAGCCATGTCCGTGTTATTTGATGGTTCGAAATATTTGTTTAATTTGGTCATAGCTGTTTCATACTTATCTCCCGTTTCATGTAGAGTGTCAAAGATGTCATTCGTTTCTTCTCCGACATATGCGAGTAAACCTCTTCTTACTTTTAAATCAAATTTTTGAATTTTGATGAAAAGATTGTTGAATCTTTTCGCCCATTTGCGCCATCGTCCCACTGTTGATCAATTTTTATGAGGGTCGAAAGGTGCGAAAGTTCCGCTTCGAGGAACTCCCATGTTTATATATCTAACTGAATGCTTGTTGGAATTCTTGAACTTTGCAGCTGTTGCTTTTCTCTGTCGTTTGGGCATTTTTGGATGATGTAGCCATGTCATTTCGTATATTAATGTTCTCGCCTTGGTGTTTATCGACAGCTATCTTTACTCGATAGAATCTCTTAATTTATAATCTCATTGCAATAAATTTACATACTATGTATTCTAAGTATTAAGATAAGTATTCTAAGCTGTAATTATCGATTTGATTCCCTATACGAGCATTTTGATGTATAGTTTGTCTACGAAACTAGTTTTGAGCAGTCTTTTGTGAAGTTTTTAATCTTGCCCTTTAAATTTTGTTTTGGTAAGACATAAGCAATGGCGGATAAACCCAACAGCATGACATTGAACGAAGTTTTAGACGTCCTAGAGCAAGATTATGGTATTTCTTATGATGGAGTGTGCTCGGATATTGATTGCGAGCTTTCTGCCTTTTCGAAACCTGATGTTGAAGTTCTGTCTTCAGTGCAAGATGAACAAATAGAAATCCTCAGCAACTTACATGATGTTGAAACTGATGAGGAAGAGGAAACGGTCGCTCAGTCTGGCAAAATACTGGCATACAACTTTTCAAACACTAAATGGTCGAACGATGAATACGAGGGAGAAATACGACGTGGTGCTTTTACACAAGATGTTGGTAAAGATGTCAGAATTGCAATCTGTCTTTCGATTCAAAGGACCCATTGCTGCGGTAACATGGATGGACAACCGTGTTGTGAATATGGTTTCATCTCAAGCAATACCATCTGATACTGCTGCAATTCCAGTAAAGCGATGAAAGAAAGATGGCAATACAGATGATGATCAATGCCCAAATATCATTGTATCATAAAATGGGTGGAGTTGGCGGGAATGACCAGATGAAATCATATTATGGCATCAACTATAGGTGGAAGAAATGGTAGCTGAGAATATTTTTTGAACTACTGCACAGATGCATTGTAAACAGTCACATCCTGGAAAGGCTGTCACCAAACCATAACATGAGGAGTTCAAAGAATTTCTGCCTAGAAGTCTCCAAACTTCTTATTGGGGAGTTTTCTTTTCGGAGACATTTTGTTCGACCAGCTATTGAATCGCCTGCTAGATTTCGGGATAGAAATTTTCCCAGCATAATTCCATCCTACAGCAAAGGAAAGACTAAGGAAAGAAGGTGCAAAGTATGTTCCACAAAAAAAAGCCAAAAAGGACTTCCTATTCCTGTAAAGACTGCGACGTAGGACTATGTGTAGCACCTTGCTTTAAAATTTTCCACACCAGACAGTAGTTTTTCCGACAGAATTGTTGGTAAATATAAGCATGTTATTAAAAATAACACATTTTATGGAATAAAACCCTAAGTTAGTGCAACTTATAAGTTTGTTCAAGCTCATAGATAGTTTTGAAATTATTTCTTATTTTATTGCTATATTTGCTGGCACGGTACGATTGCAATTTTCCAATTATTTGAGCTTTCTAGTGCCTAAATGAGAAAAGTTATACATCATCTGAAAGCTTATAATACAGGCTTTTTTGTGAGCAGTAGTAAGCAATTACATCTAAAGAATATTCTGAGAACTTTATCTTTACATTGAATGTTTTCGTTTGGAAATATTATCACTTCGGTAATTGACACCTTGTGTCGTCATGGAAACGAATTTTATCCCATTTTGAACACTACAATTAAATTCTTCATTATATTAGCTTTAAATTGATATATGATTTGTATGTAGTTTAGTAAATGTTGGCTTTTATTATAACTTTATTTTGTTATTGTTCATTATGTTATTGTACAATTCATTTTTTCTCTAAAATAAACTTGGGACTTAAAGGGTTAATAAACATGTTTGTAGATGTAGATCGTCCAGGTTAGTATAGTCCTGAGAAGGTCTTTTTTGTTGTTGTTGACTGACGTTTTTGTAGTATAGTTATTATGTAAATTATTAGTATTTCGTATGTCATACTACGTATATTATAATTAAGTAATGATCTGTATATAAGTAACATGACTAAGCAATAAAAGGGAGAAATCTCACAATATTACATCTGGCGACAAAGATTATTAAGGGACGAAGAAATACGATTTGATCGTGAGAAAGATACTACATTTCGAACATGACAGCTTTGCCTAGCTTCCCGACGTTCAACTTAGAAGAACCAGACCTTAGAAAAGCTTGGGGAAAATACGTATCAAGATTGGAGAATTTGTTGTTGGCAATGAACATCACAAATGCCGCAAGAAAGAAGGCGATGCTCCTGCACTATGTCGGTGAAGAAGTTAATGAAATATTCGAAACTTTAGAAATTGACGAGCTAGATGGAGAAGAAGATGTATTTAGAAAAGCGGAGAAAGCGTTACGAAATTACTTCACTCCACAGAAGAATATAGAATTCGAAGTTTATAAGTTTCGTCAAGCGAAACAACTCCCAGGAGAAAATATATCCGCGTACTATACGAGATTGAAACAATTGGCCAAATCCTGCGAATTTCATGAAGAAAGCAGAGAGATAAAAACTCAGATCATACAAAATGGTTCATCTTCAAATTGCGGAGAAAAGCGTTAGCAGACCCCGAAATAACGATGGACAAATTAATACAAATGAGAAAAACAATGGAGATGTCAAAAACACAAGCAGAAGGCATCGAAAGCACGAATCGAATTTGGCATAAAAGAAAGCTGTTCAAGACGCCCACGGAAAAAACCTCAAATGCTTCCGAATATTCATCGAAGATCAAATGCAAATTTTGTGCTCGTGAACATCGTCCAGGGAAAACAAATTGCCCGGCATATGGAAAGAAATGTCGACAGTGTTTAAAGTGGAACCATTTTCAAGTTTGTTGCCATGAGAATCGAAGAGGCAAAGAGCTGATGCAAGACAATTATCAAATTTCTCGCGCTGAATCAACAAAGCGAAACGGACAGATAAAACGTAATCAAGTAAGACCTCGACAAGTGAATACGGTGCAAGAAATAACGTCCGAATCAAGTATGGAAGATGTATATGTATTTTCAACGTTGACGGCGCCACAAAAGCTGCCGAAATTTAAAGTTAAAATAAATGGTACTCCTGTGTCAGTCATGGCAGATACCGGTTCCAGCGTAAACCTCTTGGATGAAGTGAATTTTAACAAATTGAAGAAAAAGCCAATATTGCAGGAAGCAAATGAGAAAATCTTTCCTTATGGGTCGAAAAAACAACTATCAATTAAAGGAAAATGTCAGTGTGTGGTCGAAACCGATAAACTATATGGGTTGGAGACATTTTTTGTTTTAATGGGAATACGGGTTGCTTGATAAGCTGGAAAAGTTCTCAAAAATTGGGCCTGGTACAAATAGTCGCATCCATAGAAGGCACTACAAAGTCTAAACAGGAACCCATTAAAGAAAAGGCACAAGAAAAAGTGAGAGAAGATACGAAAGTGGAAGAGCTAATTAACATATATCAAGAAGTCTTTCAAGGATTGGGAAAATTGAAAGGGTTTCAAGTTCATCTACACGTAGATAAGGACGTACAACCTGTCGCACAACCTCATCGTCGGGTGCCGTTTCATGTGAGAAAAGACTTGGAGAAACAGTTAAAACAAGACGAAGAACGCGGAGTCATAGAAAACGGATGGACCAACACCTTGGGTTTCACCAGTCGTGGTCGTACCAAAACAAAAGGGAGGTCCGAGTTTGTATAGATATGCGACAAGTAAACAAAGCAATAAAGAGAACGACACTTGACTCCGACGATCGGTGAAATTATAAGTGATCTAAATGGTGCTGTATGGTTTAGCAAATTGGACTTAAATCAAGGCTATAACCAGTTAGAGCTCGATGCAGAATCAAGATATTTGACAACCTTCTCAACACACATTGGTCTACGGAGATTTCGACGTTTGAATTTTGGAATAAACTGTGCTGCAGAGATATTCCAAAATGCCATCAGAAAAACGTTGAATGGACTGAGAGGCGTGATTAATATCAGTGATGACATTATGGTGTTTGGCGTAGACGAGAAAATCACGATGCAAATTTGAACGCGGTATTACAACGAATTAAAGATCGAGGACTAACTCTTAAGAAAGAGAAATGTCAGTTTAAGAAAAGAAATTTAATATTCCAAGGGTATGTGTTCTCAGAGAATGGTATTGTGCCGGATCCCAATAAAGTGAGAGCAATTAAGGAATGCACAAATCCTAAAGATGTAGGAGAAGTACGAAGTTTGTTAGGCATGACCAATTTTGCTGTCGATTTATTCCACATTATGCCACAATTACGGAGCCGTTACGTCGACTTATCAAGAAAGATGTCCCATTCGTGTGGACAAGAGAACAAGAAGACACAATGAAAGCCCTACGGAAAGCACTAACAGATGGGCCAGAAAGTGCGTATTTCGATCCGGATAGTGATACGGAGGTTTTCACAGATGCTAGTCCAGTTGGTATTGCAGCAGTCTTGGCGCAGAGGAAAAAGGGAGAAGAAAAAAGGAAAATAATTGCTTACGCTAGTAAATCACTAACTACCACAGAGAAAAATTATTCCCACTTGGAAAGAGAAGCTTTAGCCATAGTATGGGCCTGCGAACACTTTCATTTATATTTGTTTGGAGGAAAGTTCACCATCGTCACTGATCACAAGCCGCTGGTGAAAATATACACAAATCCATCATCAAAGCCATCTGCGAGATTAGAACGATGGGCTTTGCGATTGCAACCATATGATTTTGAAATCTGTTTTCAACCTGGAACTGAAAATCCTGCAGATTTTCTTTCACGTCATCCCTTATCTGATGAGAAACTAAACAACCGACAAAAGAAAGTAGCAGAAGAATTTGTTAATTACGTTACACAGAACTCGGTTCCAAGAACAATCAGCAGGAAAGATCTGGAAGAAGCTACAAGAGAAGACATTACTCTTCGAGCAGTAATTCAAGCCATTGAAACAGGAAGATGGTTTGACAGTTCAAAGATGGTAGGAGTAAATCAAGCAGAATTTAGCTCATATGAGAAACTTAAAGATGAACTTTGCATATCTTCGGGAATAATTCTACGAAAACATCAAATAATCATACCAGAAAGTTTACGAGAGAAAGTTGTGAACATTGCTCATGAAGGTCATATGGGAATGTCAAAAACGAAAGCTTTGTTACGTGAAAAGGTATGGTTTCCACGTATTGATGAGTTAGTTAATGAAAAAGTTAAATCGTGTTTAGCCTGTCAGATTACAACTCCAGTCAGTGAAAAGGAACCATTGAAAATGTCAGAGTTGCCAAGATCTCCTTGGAAAGAACTAAGTATGGACTTTGGTGTAGCTCCTACAGGCACAGGTGAATATTTGTTTGTTTTGTATGATGATTTTTCCAGATATCCCATTGTAGAAGTAATCCGATCAACGTCCGCAAAGACTGTTATACCCTGTTTGGATAAGATACTTTCGGAGTTCGGGATACCAGATACGATACGTTCAGACAATGGACCGCCATTCAATAGCAAGGAATTTTATGAATTTTCAAAGTATTTGGGATTTAAGCACAGAAAAGTTACTCCTTATTGGCCGCGAGCCAACGGGGAAGTGGAAAGATTTATGCGTACTATCAAAAAGACAATAAAGGCTGCGATAATGGAGGGAAAAATTTGGAAGCAAGAAATCCATACGTTCCTGCGAAATTATCGTGCCACACCTCATAGTTCGACCAAAATCTCTCCATCTATGGCTTTATTCGGTCGACCAATGAAAGTACGTTTACCTGAAGAACCATTTCATGTAGATACAGAGGAAAGAATTCGAGTACAGGATGAAAGAGCAAAATTGAAGATGAAATTACATGCAGACAATAACAGGAACGTAAAGACAAGTGAGATTAAAGTAGGTGATATGGTGTTAGTAAAGAAAGATACGATCACCAATAAACAACAAACACCCTATGATGGTAAGCCATGTGAAGTCGTGGAAAGAAAAGGTTCAATGGTAACAGCGAAGAAAGATAGAATGTGGCTTACTCGTAATTCGTCATTTTTCAAGAAGATCGAAAATGGGAAAAGTCTAGAAGAACCCATTGAGGAAAGTATAAACGAAAAAGAACGGCGGTATCCTTTGCGTACAAGAAAAGCCCCTATTCGATACGGACAAGTTGAAAGTTAATTTAGAGATAAAAGTTATTTAGCTATAAAAGAAACAATTAATATTTTCATAAACGAACTTATAGATACAAAATACAAAAAAAAATATATTTAATTAGTTTGGGGAGAGGTGTAGTATAGTTATTATGTAAATTATTAGTATTTCGTACGTCATACTACGTATATTATAATTAAGTAATGATCTGTATATAAGTAACATGACTAAGCAAGAAAAGGGAGAAATCTCACAATATTACAGTTTTTACAATCTTAGCGGTTGTCATCTTCAGAATCAAATGAGGAGTAAACGTCAGACCGTATTTGATATCTGGTTCTTACGTCATTGTATTGTGTGTACAGAAAATGTGTAAATTGTGTATTAATTGTGTGTAAATTGTGTATTGTCATTGTGGATTAGTGTGAAGTGTAATGTTTTTATTTGATCGTTTGTTTGTATTGTGAATAAGTCCTTTGTAAGTTGCCGGTAATTGCTGTGATCTGTTTAGGGGGGTTTGTTCCAAGTTGGTATACCAACTTTTTAATGTAAGCCGTTGTCTATAGTCAGTGCTGTAAGTAATGCATTTTACCGAGTCCCAGTCAATGTTGTGCTTTGTGAGTCGGTGTTATTCGGCAATGTGATTAGTTTTGTCTTGTTTCTTTGTAACTCGTTTGTGTTCAGTAAGTCTTATGTTTAAGTTCCTGCCAGTTTCCCCCATGTAAGAGGCGTGGCAGTCAGAGCGTTTTCTTTAGTAAACTGACCTTGTGAGGACTATACTAACCTGGACGATCTACACCTACAAACATGTAACGATACTCCTGGGCTCAAACCATTTACTTAATAACCATTTTAGATTAAAAACAAAATTTTTCAATTTTATGTTTTTAATTATAAGCATATTTCGACTTAACTGCACGTAAGTCATCTTCAGTGTGAATGGTTTTCTTAATTTTATCTTTTATGTAGTAAATGCCTGGATTACAAATTTTCAAACTTATATATATATCCTTGCAGAAGCTGTTATGCAACACCTTGAAAAGCAGTCAGTCACCAACAACGCACACATCAGACTATGGAGAAGATTTGTTGACGACATCTTTGCTATCGTCAAAAAAGACAAAACAGAACACATTCTACACACAATAAACAACACCACACAGAACATAACCTTCACCATGGACAAAGAACAGAACAAACAACTTACCTTCCTGGATATTCTACTTACCAGATCACATGACGGCACATTAAACACACAAGTATTCCGCAAAAATACACACACAGACCAAATACTCAACTTTAATAGCAATCACCCAACACAACACAAAATTAGTTGCATACGAACTCTCTTTAAAAGGATTAAAACACACTGCAATACAGAAGAAGCCAAGAAGAATGAACGCAACTACTTATACTCTACATTCATAAACAACAATTACCCACAAAACTTTATCAACAAAGTATTAAACAAACTACACAACAAACCACAAACTGAAAAATCTAAAGAAGATACAGACGAACCAGTAAAAATAGTGACATTACCATATATAAACGGAACATCAGAAATGACATCAAGACTACTCCGACCATTCAAAATAAACATCGCACATAAACCAACACACAAACTCAAATCATACTTCACTATACATAAAGACCGAACAACGACATTCGACACAACCAACGCGGTCTGTATGATACCATGTAAAGATTGCCCCAAACAGTACATAGGACAAACATCCAAGAATATTGAAACAAGACTCACGGAACACAAGAATGCCATCAAACGACGCGACCCAAAATCACTGCCAGCAGAACATACCTACGATACCAACCACACATTTGACTGGACAAAACACAACTTCTTGGACGCGCACAGACAAAACACGCACGACAATTCAAAGAGGCATGGTACAGCAAAGACAACAACACAATTAACAGACATATTGACATCCCCATCATCTATTCACAACTAAAGCACAGAATAGATATATACAGAAGCGCCACTCGATGTCGGAACCTTTGATGTTCGTGTCCGCAGCATCCGGGAACTTTACACGGCAGCCATGTTTCCAGCCAGATAAATGCAGCCAGATCGCAATGTAATTTATAGTGCCAAGGACAAGTTTTTAACCAAAAACTAAAATAGTTCGGCACATTGGCAGTTTTTTTCGTTTTTCGAGTAGAGACAGTAAATCGCAGCGAGTCTTCTATGTCATATCAGTCAATTCGATATCGTATTTGAAAAATAAGTGTTTGTAGAAACATTCAAAGTAGAACTTGAATACGGACGACATTAGTTTAAAGATGTTTGACTTTTATATATTTCCGACATTTCCTTTTGGTGGTGGCAAAGTCACGATTTGCAAATTTGATCGCGTAATAGATACGCATTCGGACAAAAAGCTTTAACAAATAATCATGTGGGAACTCTGTACATACATCAACTGGTGGAATTGCCTGGAGGACTTTTAATATATTTGCCCCAACGTTGGAATTTTTCGTTGTAGCAGAAAAGCAATTGACGAAAGTATCTTCCAGTGCCTTTATGTATTCCAGGTATCTTCTAGCTGGGACATTCAACTCACCAAAATTCTTACTATCATATGATTTGAAATAGCAGAAAAGCTGTTGATCACTGTCAAAATCATTTGATGTCAAAATTCTCTTGCATTCATCACAGCTGTGCATCTTGAATGATTTTTTCAGCAAGTAGCCAGCAACATAAGCCACAGCATTATCTTGAATGATGTTAGAAGTCACATTATGTTCTCTATAATCTGCTGGTCCAATTGAAAGAATGCTTGGATGGGATTGTGGCATGTTCTCTACATGTTTTGGCTTTGATATATTCGCTGTTGTGCATTGAACCAAGAGGGCATCCATATCTTTAGCACAGTTGCCTTTTGATGATGTAAGAAGCGCACTAAAAAACAACTTTCGAAATGCTCTTGTGAACTGTATTGGTGTGGGGTTGTCGCAATTCCCCCCTTGTTGTCGTATGCTTCCAAAAAAATTTTCAAGTGGGTCGGTGTTCAGCCTTCTGGTAAGTAGGTAAGTAAAGTTGTGGGCGGTTTGCAATGTACTCCAGATGTTTATAATTGCACTAATTGTAACCAACCAACCTTTTAGAGATTTGATCCTGCCTGTTACATCCTCATTGCCATTGAAAACTTTAATTTTTTTAATAAATTGTAAGGATTCTTGCAAAAATGTGATTTGTGAACTCTTTGTTGTGATTGGTCTTCTCAACTCTTTCATTGCTTTTAGGTTCGAGCTATTTACACAATCAAAGAGGAATCAAACTTCAAGAGAAACTCTGCAGTTCCACTGGCACAAGATGATAAACCTCCCAAGCTGACATATGCGCAAATAGCTGCTGCAACGGTATGACTAAAATCTGTGTAGCATATTTGACTTTCATTTTTTGGAAGTTAGTTGGATGGATGTGTTTATCTGTCAACTTTGGAGCATTTCTGATTGATAGCATTTTGTCTTTTACATAGAAGTTCTCTATGTCCTTCCAACTGGCAACATGTTGTCCAAATTGGAAATTGTAGTTTATCAGATTGTTTCTCGTGCACTTTATTAGATGTGGTGGATCAAACATGAGGTAAACTTTTTTGTTATTGTGCAGAAACCATGGTTGGTCACAATTTACATTTAAGCGAAGAGATAAGCTATAGAAGTTGGACCCCATGTCTGATGTAATGACCATGACATTCAATCCAATTTCCTTCAATTTATCAATGACTTCTTTGATTATTTCTTCCAAAACATCAACAGGACAGGACTCGTTGACAAGTACATAACCCAATGGTTGCTTCCACCCCAGAAACACTTCTTAACATTAGCACGAGACCAGATGTTGCAACTTTGTTTGTTCTGCACCCACCACCAAAGTCTTCCACACCTACTATGTTGTCATCTGTGATATTGTAGTAAAGGTGGGTCTTTAAAGATAGCTCATCAACACATAATGTACATGTCTTTTCCATTTCACTCATATGTAGAACTTTCTCTTTTAATAGGTTTAATGTTGCTTGTGGTATGCCTGTTTTCATAGGAATTCTTGAAACAAATCTTCTTATTGATGTCATTGATGGCAGAATAAAAAGCTTTGATAGAAGCTTGTATGCTTTTCCACTAGCATGGCATAGAGACAGCTAATGATTGTAATTCTGGTGAGTATCTTCGACCATATTTCTTTTTTGAGTGGAGCTTCATTTGTAACCTTATAAAGCTGGCTAGATGCCCAGGCAGGTTTTTTAGTGCAGCTTCTAATGTGCATTCGATATCCTTCTCTTTCACCAGATTTTTAATCTTTCTGCTCAGCCTTCGTATTTTTGTATTCTTAGTTTGAATTGTTGTTTTTTGTTTTCTCTTCCTAGGGTGTTATCTGAGAGATTGGTATGTTTGACCACCGAAATCTCTTTTTGAACACTCAGGTGGATTGTCTAAAGAAAATTTGTGGTCATTGAAATTTTGTAAAAAATCTTAATGTAATCTAGCTGTTGCAAAACCATTACATTTTACCTTCTTCATTTTCATTTGATTGATTCGTTTGAATATCATAAACTTGGTTGCCTTCTATTGTTTGATTTTCTTCTATAAAGAAATGTGCAACTACAGGGTTAGATGCCACATATAAAAACTGGAAAAGTTGCACTCTCCAACCTTCCATCTCATCAATGTTAAAACTTTCACCATGCTTATTGTCGCACTCTTTGCCAAGTTGCTCTTCCTTATTCCTTCAAAGTGTTTCAATTAAGTCAGTATCAACAACTTTATGTACATAGTGTTGCATGTCACCAACTAACCTGTAACATTGGCTATTTCTTCATGTCGAGATTTCTTTGCTGTAATCAAATTTTTTTTGTAATCATTCAGTTCTCCTTGTTTCTTTATCTACTTCATTCTATGTAGCTTGCCAAGTGAATTATGTGAATACTTTTCCTCATTTTTTGTAAAAATAGTGTTTCATTGTTTTATTTAAACTTACTTGAAATCTATTAGAAAATAAAATGTGAAAAATTACTTATTTACCTGATGGAACATATTGAATTTCTTTTCTTTCAATTGCCCTTCGTTTTTTCCCAATTTGGGGTGGAGGATTGGGAATTTTGAATAGAGTTGGCTTACTCTGAGGATTTAATCTCTTCTTTTCCATGCTGGTGAACATGCAGTCCTCAAAATGATCTGCACACAGTTTACAATTCTTGTAAAGATATTCTGCACTTTTGCCCAAAAGATCTTCACGACGACAATTGTTTACCCATTCCTTTGATCTAAAATACAAAGAAATGCTTAAAAAACTTTATTGCCCATGCAGCATTAAATAAAACATCCATAAGACTTGCAAACAAAAAATACCCTTACCTCTCCATATCCTTTGGAAAACGAAAAAAACTTAAATCAGGACGAGTTCGTTTGCTTTGTGTGCAGTTGATAGCAGCACAATGAGTTCTTGACCCACCCTTTAGTTTGTTCTCTTTTGCCATGAAATATTTGTGTATGAATGACACACAGAGAGTAGCACATAAAAACCTTGCAATAACTGTATAGCTTTCCAGCACAAAATGAATGATGGTCCTGGTTACTAATTAAACATGCAAATTTGCACAGCAAAAACTTTCCAAGTTTTCTATTAAAAAATGAGTTAAAAAACAACTTTATTGTTAAACATATACAGATTTGACAAACAAGATGAAATTACAAAGTTTCATTTACAATGATGCAGATGCAATGCAAAATAACAAGTCAAAAAAACTTGAATTCAAACATCAAACATAGAAGTACTTTAATGTTTTATAAAGATAGTCATCCACATTTAAAAAATAACTGCGTCTTCATCATAACAGCATTCTTCGTGTACAGTAGGTCGTGTAATTTCTGCTATTTAGTAATAAATCATTGACCATTCTATTATGAAAATCTATTGTAGAAGATAAAAAGAAAAATAATAAGGCAAAATACATTAAAAAATACCTTTATTAGTCCTAAACGACAAATCTACTGGGAAATTGTGTTGAGTTCGAGTTACTCGCCATATCTCTTTCTTAGTATACACTATACCTTGAGTAACAGCCACGAGTGAACTTGATGATCAAACTGATTTTCATTATTTTACAGAGCAGTATTTATAGTATTTTTCACCAAAAACAAATATTATTATTGGTCGGAGTAGTTCCTCTGTTTAAGCTATATATGGTACATAAGGAAATTTAACTAACGTCAATAACTGTTCCTTGGCTCTTAGCCGTGTGGGAACGGATACATTGATAAACTAAACTACGCATATACTATTTCCTCAACATGTTTTTTTGTGGTTTATGAGCATGACTCAACAAATTACCTTTCAATATCATACACGTTGTAAAAACATTGATCTCGTAACCAATACAATTCAATGAAAGAAACTTATAAAACCCGTAGAATACGAATGACGAACGTATATTGTATTAAAATTATTTCTTACCTTATTTCCTTTATATCCTGCTTAAAGGCATTAAAATTGTTGTCCATATGTGAATCAAAACCCATCAATTTTATGAAAAACAACTCTCCATAATACTAATCTATATACATTCTGGCCAGTTTATCTGGCTGGAGTAATGGCGGACGCAAAGATGCGCATTAAGGACTGGTACAAGTAGGCGACAGATTTTTCGCTGAGTGGCGCTTCTGTATATATCTATTCTGTGACTAAAGACAAAACCAAAACAACAAACTAATAACACAACGACTAAAATAAAACACTCGAATTTCATTAACGTAATCGATACACCCGAAACCATGACAACGCATCTTATACCATCCAATAATATCAACTCAACTACTAACCAACCAATCAGACGCTCCAAACGCCTACAAAATCTTTGTAAATAATATATGGTCACATTCTGACGAAGGCTCGAAGCACCGAGTTGAAAGCTTAATAAAATTTAAAACAAATCCAGAGAATCCTTATCATTATAATATATATATATATATATTGGTAAGGAGAAGAAAATACACAAAAACTACAATTTCATCCCGACAAGCCTGTTTCGTGATTGCTCACTCTTCAGAGATTTAATGAATAAAATACTTAAATGCTTATATATACAAGATGATGACGGAAGCTAGTGTATTAATCAAGGTGTATAGTTTCAAGTTAGATGACGGAAGTTAGAGTATTAATTACGGTGTATGGTTACAAATTACATAGGAGTGTTTTGGATCTATGGCGACAAGAGGAAATAAGTTCGTTGGATGTAATTTGTAACCATACACCGTAATTAATACTCTAACTTCCGTCATCTAACTTGAAACTATACACCTTGATTAATACACTAGCTTCGTCATCATCTTGTATATATATTTAAGCATTTAAGTATTTTATTCATTAAATTGAAGCATCACAAACAGGCTTGTCGAATAAATGTAGTTTTGTGTATTTTCTTCTCTTACAATATTTACGCTCTGCTCTCGGGCATCGAGCACTGTTTTATACGGAAAATCATAAATTATAAACTTCCTATATATATATATATATATATATAGAAATATGATACAGTGTGTTGATACTCAATCAATACATTACACACTAATTTCTCCATTAACAAAAGATCTCGCAGAATTATTTATCATAGCCACATCGCAAACTTATTTTCTTTCTTATAATTTATTTTATGACTAATTGACGGGATTGCAACGGGATCGCCATTTGCTCCTGTTTTAGCTAATCTTTCATGCTGCCATGAGAAAACTTGGAATACTGATTATAACGGAAATAAACCCTTTTCTACCAACGCTATGTTGATGATACTTTCTGCAGGTTTGAAAATAAAACTGATGCCAAACTTTTTGTTTGATTATCTCAACTCACGCCACCCTAACATTAAATTTGCTTTTGAGACAGAATAAACAAACCAAATTTCTTTCCTCGATATTCCTATTAAATCGACTAACAAATTGACAACCTCGGTTTTCACAAAAAACTTACACCGGTCTTCTTCGCACCTCGGTTTTACCTCCTTTCAATATAAATCTAGTATCATTAAAACTCTCATTGACCGTATTTATAAAATTAACAATACTAACGATGGCCTAAAGAATGACCTTGAACTTTCTTTTCCAACGCAATTCATTTCCACTTCACTTCATTGAGCGCATTTCTTAACGCACACATTAATAAAACACACACAATACCAAACAAAATGATACCGCCAATTCACCCAACCAGCAACATTTCTAATATCCTACTCAATTTTCCATACATATAACATTTCACGAATCCCCAAAGGAAACTATTTAATCTCACCAAACGCTTCTGTCATGACTAATTATTATTATTATTGTTATTATTATTATTATTATTATTATTATTATTATTGTTGTTGTTTTTTGTTGCCATAGTTAGACAGGTTGAATATGTATTTCTTACACCAATTGCTATTTTAACATCAGGTGGTATGGAGAAAGTAACTACTGTACACATAAACGACTAGCTGATTGGCTTGCACCAAAGAGTGCCATATGGCATCACGGAGTGTAAATGTTGTATGTTATCTTTTGCATCGTTAACATCCCAAAATATGCAATACCAGAAAGTCGATCTGCCTTCAATCGTGTATTTATGATTAGTATTGATCTGGGCTACTGGGAAGAGTCGACTTTCTTGCTGATTTCTCCTTACATAGCAAGCTGTTAAAACGACTACTGAGATATTTCAATATTTTCAAAATCTATGTAGCCATTCTCTTAGTTATTGTTTTGTAATAATTGCAGAGACAGGAACTTGAATACACATGATGTTAAGAGGCTTCTGAACATTCAATTTTTCTCACTCATTTATAAACATTCTTGTATGAGGAACATTTTGACCATTTATTTAAGCATTGAAATAGTGTCACACTTGATTTTGTAAACTTGTTAAGAATTCATAAAGGAAGTTACATTTTGTTTTATTTCATCCATTTTAAGGCAGACCTAATTAGTTTGCGTCTCAATCTAGAAATACCTGAACTTTCGCGTGGCGCGTATCCAGTAATCTTCATGCTAAATTCTTTTTGGGCGTGTCATTGAAGTGGAATAACTCAATAATTTTGTGATGTCTTAATGAGTAAAGACAAGTTGCTACATAAATACTCTATTTCATGTATTTGTTTGTATTTAAGTGCATTTACGCACATTGCTCAACAATGCTAAATATTGAGCACATGTTTAGTCAACATGGTGAGCGTTAGCACATAGCATTAGTATTTTACATATATACAGTTGCAAATGACATCCACTTCATAATAATCTTGTGTCGTTGCATTGTTCGTTGCGCACATCTGTATCTGCCTGCATCCGATTGGTCACACCAGATCGTTCGTGCTCAACAGTACCATGGCGTTATGATAGCTCATTATTTTCTTTATACCAAACAACTTTAGAGTGGTTTTCCCATTGCTTTGCATCCTAGTTTGAGGTTTTCACCCTCTTTGAGTAATATTGTTGCAGATGGATGACTTACAATTGTAGGTGGAACTGTAAACGATAAAGATAATAAACAAAATTAGATTTCCATAAACTAATGCCACTCAAAAAGCTTCAGGCGACATAGAAAAAAGCATTTTGTCGAAAAACACCTGTAACGCCTGCAGCGGTCGTATAAAAATTAAAATCACAACATTTATTGTAAAAATGGCAATCTTACAATGTTATATAGCGTAACGGAAAGCTAACTCTTAGGAGCTGAGAGGAAATCATAAAAATTATGATTCGAGTATTGGATTCGAAAAAACCGAGCAAATTATACCGATGATAAATGGAATTCCGATTAATCACACTAAATACTTGTGCTGTATCATTAGTGAAAAACTAATAAAAAACTTGTGAAAAACTTGCTATATAGCGACATTATAAAAGCTAACTCTTAGGAGCTGAGAGGAAATCATAAAAATTATGGTTCGAGTATTGGATTCGAAAAAACCGAGCAAATTATACCGATGATAAATGGAATTCAGATTAACCACTAAATACTTGTGCTGTATCATTAGTGAAAAGCTGCATTAAACAAACAATGAAAAAATATTACACAGTATGAGTTTTGTACTGTCTTTCAGAAATTGCTTGTTTTGAAACTAGTAGCTAGATTTGGTTGAAATGCGTCTTTTTTTACTTTCCTACACACTCCCCCTATCCCCAAAGTTGTGGAATGTAAAATGTAGCATGGCAATGACTTCGTTGTTAAAAATAGATAACAAACATGTTAAAAATATGTGTTCAATAAAATGCATTTTTGTTTGTTGTGGAAATTACCATAAATTCTACGACAGTTTAATTTGCAAAAGAAAGATGGTCGGTTGAGACAGATCTTTTGCGAATTTTGAGCACTGTTTGCTTGATTATTCAATTTAATAATGATGGAGGAAAATAAAGAAATGTTAAAATTTTGAAGCTCAAAGAGGCGAAACAACATAATCAAGAAGATCGATCAGAATTCGATCTTGAAGCACTAAAGAGACAGCAAATGTTAACTAACTTTAAGTAATTACCTCGCAGTAGGCAATCACGAATTGAGGTAACTGATGCTCAGACATCTAAGCTCAAAAGGCATTGGAGCAGTAAAGACAATAATGACAAAAATGTTAAGTTACGAGTCAAGAGGCGGCTCTTATAATCAAAGAAAGCGATCGATCAAGAAGAGATTCAGTCTTAGAAGCACTAAAGACAGCAAATGTTAACTAACTTTAAGTAATTACCTTGCGCAGTAGGCAATCGAATTGATGTGATGCCATCAGACATCTAAGCTCAAAAAAAGACATTGGAGGAACAGTAAAGAAGTAATGACAAAAAGGACAAGTTAATTTAAGCATAAAAAACAATTATATTACCTGTGATGAAAAGAAAGACAATAAAGTCCTCAAGAACTTGCACCAAGAACTCTGAAACATTTTCATATCATAGACTCTAATTGTCCTGGCTACTAATGACCACAATGTATACTTAATACACATTTTGCCGATATTAAAAGAATCTTGAAACAAAATCAATGTTAATTAATACGGCAGTAAAACAGCCCTGAAGAAAGTCTAATTTAC